GCTTACTTGCCTAACTTTCCAATGAAATGAAAATTTTGATAGCTATCAGATGTTTGACAAAATATTTCCAGAACCTCCCACTGAAGTCATACACTCTAGATTACATATCATGCGTGTTGACAACTCTGAATCATGAATCACTGCTTGCTTTGATCAACATAAGCTTGAATCAGCATCCTTGAAACTCTCTTTGCAGAATGTGCTGTATCGCCCACCTTCCAGCATATTTCTGTAAAGGAAGATTCATCCTTTCTACCATTCTATTCTATTCTATTTCCTACTATTATTGAACAAAGTCTGCAAATAAGTGGTGGCAGATTTTAAAGTTACAAGTATGGCCAAAACCTCAATGACGTGCAGATTATTTCTACACTACCATTTCCTTTCAAATGTCTGGTGCTTGATGAAACATTAATTCAGGAATGGACTTTAACTATTCTATCTACCGCTAATGGGACAGAATCCTAGGACCTGCAATCCAGCATTTGGAGAGATACCCTTTGCCCACACCAATGCAGAAGACATTAGAGCACATCAATCAATTAGAGATAACATAAAAGGCTTAGAGCAGTGGTTCCCAAACTTGGGTCCCCAGGTGTTCTTGGACTAAAACTTCCAGAAACTTTCACCACCAACTGTGCTGGCCAGGGTGTCCGGGAGATGTAGTGCAAGAACATCTGGAGACCCAATCTTGGGAAGCACTGTCTTAGAGGAAGATTTCAATGCTGATGGTTTAAGATCACCTTCACTGCACACCGTGTTATCACCCCCATTGAAAGGGCAACACTTAATTCCTTGCCAAATGCCAATTCATGCGACTGACTGGCCTGCAGTGCAGAATACATGAGCTGACTTCTTAACAAGCCACCATTTGCCACTGCTCTTACAGCACTGTACTAAATCCATGTCCTTCCCAGTCCCTGATGGGTGTAGCGGCTTGCAATATTTCTTAGGAACTGAACCTAAAAGATGTTCTCTGAGGTATTTGGCATGGGGATAAAACTTCAGTGGGTGGGATCTTGGATGAGGGATGGGTCTGGACCTGCAGAACCCACTTTGATTTTCATTCAGCTCATATGCTACCCTGAGCTTCCTGAAGGGATGGGAAGGACCCACCTTCTGCAGGCTGCAGAAGAAAGGAAAATAGAGAAAGCACAGTCTCTCCATCTGTTCTGCTAGAAAGCATCTGCCTTTGGCTCTTCTTCCCCCTATCTTGTCACCAGCAGCCATGCCATCAGCCAGAAACAAGATGTAGGCTCCCTCCGCTGGACTCTGCAGAGAAGACTCTTGTATCAGAGCTTCTCTTCTTGAGAGAGAATTGCCAGCCGCTAGTGGCCATTCCTGCAGCTTGAAACCCTCAGCCTACAGCAGAGGTGGAAAGCACTCTGCTCATTCTGTTGTGATATAGGTAAAGGTTCCCCTTGACAATTTGTCCAGTCGTGTCCGACTCTAGGGGGCAGTGCTCATCTCCATTTACAACCCACAGAGCTAGCGTTTGTCCGAAGACAATCTTCCATGGTCATGTGGCCAGTGTGACTAGACACGGAATGCCATTACCTTCCCACTGTGGTGGTCCCTATTTATCTACTCGCATTTTGCATTTTGCATGCTTTCGAACCACTAGGTTGCAGGAGCTGGGACAGGTGATGGGGGCTCACTCTGTCGCGTGGATGCGATCTTACAACTGCAGGTCTTCTGACCTTGCAGCACAGAGGCTTCTGTGGTTTAACCCACAGCAGCAGCACGTCCCTGGTGATGACACGCGTCGCTGCGATATAACTTCCTTCAAATATCTGAAGGGCTGTCACACAGAAGAATGCAAAAAGCTTTCTTTCTTCGAGATTTTGAGAAACAAAACAAAACAAGAAAACCCCAAACCAGTGGACTCAGATGCCAAGAAAGGACATTCTGACTAAACACTACGGAGATATTCCTGACAGTAAGAGCTGTTCGACAGACCACCACAGAAGGTGGTGGACTCTTCTTTGTTGCAAATTTTTAAACCGCGTTTGGGTGGCCGTCTGTGAGGGATACTTAAGCTGTAGATTTCCTGCATCAGCAACAGGTTGGTCTAGATGGTTTTAAGGATGCCTTCTGTTTATACAGTTCTATGATTCTATGACTTTTGTGTCTCATCTTTCAAAATGCAAGCCTGAAGGCAAGGAGCATCTTGTGTTTTTTATTTGCCTATAATCCAATTCGGGGTTTGTAATTCCTATAATCTTATCTGGGAGGCATGTGGATTTTTAATTGAAGATCAGGATTTTTCAAAAGGCTTCATGGTCAAAGAGAAGGTGCATTGGTACCTTCTGTCTAGTTCTGTGGCTGCCAACCTTTTCAAGTCGTGGCTCCCTTCTATAATAGCCAAGTAACCTGCAACATCCCTTCACACCATGTTTGCATAAAAAGACATTTTTATGTTTTATTTTTCATAAATGAGGTTAATTCATCCCTTCTCAGAAAGCAGAGGGTTCTCTCTCCCACAAAGGACCTGTTTCTCATACATACACATACACACTAACTTTAACATCTCAGTTTGAAAAGTCATGAAATAAATTATTTAACAAGGGCTACAACACATATTAGGCGACCCCCTGACCCCTCCAGAAAATACTTTGCAACCCTCTTAGGCTTCACAACCCCCAGGTTGGGAAACATTGGTCTAGTTCATCAACAGCAGTTGTAAAATCTACCCACTACAAGAATATGGATTATTGTAGTGGAAATAGTACAAAGAAAAAGATAATACCAGATTATTGTTTATTCAATGTATATTCCGTCAAAGTGGGAACACACGTGTGCAGCTTGGGGGTACTCCTGGATTCAACTGTGAGCCCAGGTTTTGGCAGTGGCCAGAAGTATCTTTGCGCAATTAAAACAAGTGCATTAGCTACCCCTGTTCCTGGAGAGGTCTCATCTGACCACAACAACACATTCCTTCATTATATCCCAGATGAATTGTAACATTTTGTGAGCTGGCTCAGGACCTCCTTCCATGGTTGCAGCAGACTGAATTCACCACAGAGGTTATTTTTATTGTCCATCACAAATATAGCCACTCCAGGCAGTTAACAAACATAAATTGCTTTCAATCAGTGCCAAGGAGTTTAATGTTCTCCTAAACAAACATTTGCTCTTAGTGAGAGTCCTTACAGCCACCTGTGTAAGGGCTCCCACTAGAAGCCCTGGCCCTTCTATAGTTTCTAGGATGCCTTGCAAATCAGCAAGGCAAAGAGGGATGCTGAATACAAGCCTGTACTTCTTGCAACCAGGTAGCCTGCAGCCCTTGTCCAATTATGCTGGGGAAAGTCTTGTCCAGGGCTTTGTAACTAGGCTGCCAGAACATATCCTGGGTTGTATGTCCAAAGTCCACCTTAATTTGTGCAGACTGCAGAACAGCATGCTATCGGAGGAGTGTGTGGAGGGGAGGACTTAGCAGGCAGACTCACAGGAGACTCTTGGCCACCCTCGCGGCTTGGGATAGCATAATCTGGGCATTTCTGTTGAGGGCAGCCTTGGCGATGTCTTGCCCAGTGCTTCTCTTGCCAGCGCCTGGCTTTGTCTCTCCACATTCAAGCAGCCTTCTCTGGGGGAACCAGAAATGACTCCCATCATCTTGCATTGGGATCCTAGCAGTGGACCCTCTCCCAACCTTCTGTCGAGTGTTTGTGGGATGGCGGCTCCCCCTGCACCGCCAGAGCTTCCCAATCCTGCGGGTCTTCCCAGGTGTCACTTCCCTCACTCTCCTCCCAGTCCTCCTTAAATTCCCAAGCCCCCAGACTTAGGCACGCTACCTGTGGAAAAGTGAGTGCCTGCTCTCGAGGAGGTAGTAAGCCCATTCTCCCTGGCAAGGGGGCTGTGGTTGTCCTCACATATATACACATACAAAAGCCCTCTCCCAACCTTCTGTCGAGTGTTTGTGGGATGGCGGCTCCCCCTGCACCGCCAGAGCTTCCCAATCCTGCGGGTCTTGCCAGGTGTCACTTCCCTCACTCTCCTCCCAGTCCTCCTTAAATTCCCAAGCCCCCAGACTTAGGCAGGATGCCTCTAGTCCACAGGCATGCAGCCTGTGGAAAAGTGAGTGCCTGCTCTCGAGGAGGTAGTAAGCCCATTCTCCCTGGCAAGGGGGCTGTGGTTGTCCTCACATATATACACATACAAAAGATAAACACCGTATTGCTGCCATCATTCTACAAAAGTGTGTGTAGAGACATTGATACTAGGAAATATTGCCCAGAACTCTGTACAGTGGACCCTCGACTTACAGACGGCTTGACTTACAGACTTTTCAAGTTACAGACTCCTCTGGCTGCAAAATTCAGATTCGACTTGCAGCCAGAGAATCGACTTACAGACCAGAAAAAAACCAAAATGGAATAAAAATAGAATAAAAACCACTGGTTATGGGATTAATCGGTTTTCAGTGCATTGTAGGTCAATGGAGATTCGACTTACAGACTTTTCGACTTGCAGCCACCATTCTAATACGGATTAATTCCTTAAGTAGAGGGTCCACTGTACAGTTTTCCAATTGCATGTGACAAGGCTGGGTCATTGGGGCTTTTCAATTGCAAACAAGTATCGGTTGCACAGATGTAGATTGTCTTCTGCAAAAAATACTGTGGCATTCGAGGTGAAGTATCTATCCTTGGAAGTAAGCAGGTACCCCAGTCCAACAGGTAAGCATTAGCCTTTACCATGCACATAGTCTTGCACTGACACAATGCAGATCCCAGAGACTCCACTATTTCCATGAATCTAATCATTTCCCCCACCCTACAGATGAAGATGGTGGCCTTTGCTACTAATTAAAAAGCACCATCACACTCTGTTGCACCAAGATTTCAGCTCCTAACAAATAAAAATTTGTAATTCTCCAATGCAGATCCAATCATTATCCAGGAGTATTTATATGGTAGGTAGCTAATAGAATTAAAATATGAAAAGATGTTCCTCTGAAAATGTAATAAATAGTAAGTTCAAAGTAATGCATTACTTACCTGCGACTACTTTTCTTCTCTGCTTCCTCCCCTTTAACTGTTTTTTTAACCATTAGACTGCTATCTTTCTTTAGCTTCTGCATAATGCGTTCCTTCATCTGATGCTTTTCATCACTATCAATATCATCTTCATCGTCGTATCCATCTTCTTTCTCCTAAGTAAACAGGTTATGAGTATTTACTCATTGTTCTTTTGTTCATATATTCGAAAGCTTCATTTCATCATCAGGGACACATACTGATAGATATGGATATATGAGAATCAGTTTCCTTAAACCATGACACATTTGCTTTACAAATATGTCTTATTTGTTTTACCTAGCTATCCTCAAGAAAAAACCAAAACTCTTGTCTTATAAATGTTATATATGAGCGAACACTGATACACTCTCTAAGTATATAGTTTTAATTGCTTCTTTGGTTTGCAGTCTGGGGTGGTCCAAATTAACACTTGTACAGTTGTGCCTCGCATAGCAAGGTTAATCCGTTCCGGATTAACCTTCGCTATGTGAATACTTCGTTAAACGGAACAAAAAAAGCCATTGGAACGCATTAAACATCGTTTAATGCGTTCCAAATCGGCAGAAAACTCACCGTTTAACGAAGTTTTCCCATAGCCGGCAGCCATTTTCGCGCCCTCGGTAAGCGAGGGGAGAGGCGCGAAAATGCTGCGTGGGGCCATTTCGGCTGTTCCGGCGGCCATTTTGGACCCGCCGAACAGCTGATCCGCGGGGCGCAAAGCGAAGGTCGATCTTCGCTATGCGAGTTTCGGCCATAGAGGCCGACGCGATGCCTCTGCATTAGCGATCCCGGAAAAGGGATCGCTATGCGGATTCGTCGCTATATTGAGTTTAAATGCGGGCTCATAAGTTTTTGGTGGCATTTTAATTGCTGGGAGAAACGGGGTATTTATATTTGTATGGGGAGTGTTGTGTATATTTTTAACTTTTTGTTTTTTGTAGTGGTGTTGTCCAGTTTTACCTTGGGGAAGAGCACCTCATTTCGTTGCACCCACTTGTGAGTGCAATGACAAATAAATTTCTTATGTCTTATACGAGGCGCTTGTTAAGCGAGGCACCACTGTATCTAGTATTTCTCATCACTATCACTTTCTTAACACTAACCCGTTTGGACATTCAGATTATAGTTTCTTGATGTAGCATACTTGGTGTATAATCAGTTCCCGATGTAGAGATTGAGTCTGCATTGGCTTATGCATCTCACCCAACTTCTCTAAGGTGTATTATATGTTTGTAGGGCTCTGTAGAAGTACAGGGTTCAGTGCTAAAAAGCCCAGCCCACACAGCCTGATCAGGCAGAAAGGAATTGCATACATATAGCATGAGCACAGTTCTTTACAATATATGCCTAATTCTTTACACAAAAATATGTACTTTGCCTTCATGGAAGAAAATTGAGATATAAATATAGCTAAGAAATAAAATAAAGTAATAGGAATGATTGAGAGAATTAGGGGTGGAGATCTGACAGTACAATTATTATTTCTCAATGCAACTAGGATTTGAACATCTGCATGCAACTCTCCTGCAGAAAGAAATTTTAACTCAATCATCTGATGCCATGAATTTCACACGGGCTCAAAAGCATTTAATTCCAACCATAGTTCTGGTATTTAACATTACTGTATTTTAAGAATCACCTCCAACTAAATGATAATGTGCTATTATTTGTAAAAGGTCAAGAAAAGCATCACTGAGATGGATCAAAATCCACCACTGTATCAATGGACTTCTACTCATACAATGGGGCTTTCATTCACTCCCCTCCTCCTTTGACTTTCCTAAAAATATTACCTATATAATGCAAAACTAAAATGCTGTTTACTCACCTCATCTGAATTATTGCTTTCATTTGCCATGTCACTGAAAATCAAAACAAACTTAGATTGAGTAAATTCTTCCGATACACTGAAACAATCTGAACTATGTATGTGAGAATGACATATAAAACACAGGGGCATAAATACAAAATTATATACAAAAGCTGTCAGTTACAGGAGTTCTGTACACAGTAGGTATCTCACTCATCAGTCATATAGAACAGCATGGGTGCAGATGGTTAAGCAGACATGAGTAATCAGAATTGGGACTATCTTTTATACCAGCCAGTATACAGTGGTGCCTCAACTTACGACCGTTCTGACACACAACCATTTGGAGTTGCAACCAGCTCCGGCCGCAAAATTTTGCTTCGACTTGCAGACGAAGCTTCAAGTTGCAAACAAGCGGCCGCAAAATGTTGCTTTGACTTGCAGCCGAAGCTTCAAGTTGCAAACAAACGAGGCAGGGAAAAAAAAGGCAGGGAATTAAAATTAGAGTACTAACCATTAGTCAGTACAAGAGGCAGGGAAAAAAGGCAGGGAATTAAAATTAGAGTACTAACCATTGGTGAGTGAAGAGCTTCTTTGTAGCTCTTTCGCCCCAACAGTTAGAGAGTGTGTGTCACACTGCCTGGTGCTGCTTTCTGCTCCTAAGTACATTTACTTTGTTTTGCAGGGTGGGGTTGGGTTTTTTTGGGGGGTTATGTTTCCATGCTATGATGTTTTTTGGTGTTTTGGTGTCTTTTTTTTTCAGCCCCATCGCATTCCGATGGGGATGATTCAGCCCCATCGCATTCTGATGGGGATGGCTGTGGGTTTTTTTCTTGTTGTTTTTGTATGTGGTTTTTTGTTTTTAAATGCTGGAACAGATTAATCACGTTCCAATGCATTCCAATGGGAAATGGTGCTTTGACTTACAACCATTTCGAGTTATGGCCATCTTCTGGAATGGATTATGGTCGTAAATCGAGGCACCACTGTTCCTTTCTTTCCTTTTGTTTAGCCCAGTTAACACTGAAAACTCCTACGTCAGGTTCTGCCTTTCAAAGATTAGAACAGTCTTGCCCTAATTTATCTTCATATGCATTTTTACTGGAACTTTGTCAATGGAAGCAGGTTTGATTTTCTTCTACAATGGGTAATATTTTAACACTTGAGCGCAGTACCAACTTACTGCTATGCTGCAAGCACACACATAGGTAGTTCCACACTGAGCAATATAGTCTGTAATATAAGGGAAATTGCAGGGTGGTGGAAAGGAAAGAAAGAACCAAGTGCAATATGCTAACTAGAAGAAGCAAAGAGAGGCTGGAGAGGGATGTGCATGGAAGGAACAGAAAGAGGGAAGAACAGTGAAGTAAGCAACCAAGAACACATAGAATTTGTGCTAGAACACAGGTTGAGCATGAAAAAGAACCTTTCTTTTTCCAAATTAAAAGATCCAGTTCTTGATGGCAACTTGCAAAAACAGAGAGTGGCCAAAATCTTGTTGTATAGCTATGCAGCTGTAATTTGATGTTACATGTGCGGTAGCTACAATTGCATCAAGGCAGACTGATGCACTTCCAAAGCACACCGCAGAATTGATCAAAACAGGAACCATACAACCGACTGGGTAACTGTCTTGCAAAGTCTTTGTTGCACATTTGCAATAATGTACTATTATGTTAAACCTTTGACAAACAGTATTCCAGCCAATGTAGAGACACAAACCGGAGGAAAAGTTCATACTTATGAAAAAATATACATTTTCTGTAGGGCATATTTTGTGTGCTTTGTGTGTGTAAGTCCTGCATATTTGCATCAAAACCAACACAGTTCCAAGGCAGGTGAGATACCATTTTGAACACTTCCAGCATGGCTCTAGCTGCACTTCATCACTCCATCCTAGTTTAAGAGCCACTGGCAAGACTCCAGGACTACCTCCTACCCAAATAATAGAATTAGACAAAATCATAAGTAATTTTCTAAGAAACAGCCTTATTTTTGTCATTTAATTACTTTGTTTTACAATTTTAACTTAGAATGCACTGGGCAAGACACAGGTCCACTAAAATGTAGCCTAAATCTTTCTAATTGTTTATCTTCTAACAGTTCAACAAATAAAATAAGAAGAATGATAATGACAAATAGTCACAACAACACACATGTAGACAACAAGACAGTTCCAGAGTATTTGAACTGAAAGAATATCAACCTTTCAATGGCAGGAACAGAACTCAGTTGTGGATCATCTTTCAATAAGTCATGACTGCTTTTGCTTTTTCCTTTCATGCTCTAAAAGTAAGAATAAAATAAACAGCAGAACAAGAGTGTAAGTGTGATGGAAAATACTGTCATTTTAACCTCACATACTGTGTGTATAATAGCATCTCCTGTTTCAGACAAATCCTATGCAATAAGTACATAGAACGGTTCTTATTCACTCATGTATTGTTCTTATGCATTTAACTAGCTTTGCTTTTTAACTCATGTCCACAAATCTGCTTACAAAAAACAAAGGGAACCATAAATATAGAAATACTTGGGTAGACTCATACATTAAAAAGTGTCTCTTAAGGCATGAGGAGGCAACAAACTATTTCATGTTCAGAAGTCCATCTCCACGCCTTTGAATTATGATAAGAATCCATCAGGAGTCAGTTACACACTCCATGCAATCTTCCTTAATGCAGTTTTCTTCTACACTTCAAGGGCAGTCCCACACACTGTATGCTGCAGTAGCCTAAGGTGTATATTCTTGGTGGCAAAAAGTACAGGAAAGTTAGCTATCAGCCTTGGCTTCTAGAATACGCATCTGACAGTAGTCAGCAAGGGAACTGGGGATTTAGTCCAGAACACACATAATATTTTCAGCATACTGCACTGGATTTCTATGGGGAATACAGGAGAGGGAAGGGTAAGCTTCTTAAAACTGAAAGAGGTCACTCCTGACAGAAAGCCCAGTTTGAACGTGCAGTAAATTATAAAGTACAGGAATGAGGCACAGGTGCTGCCTAGCCTCCTTCTCCAGGGCTGTTACAAAGAGTTTGGAAGCTTTTGCCTACTGTATGTCTTTAATGAAATGGAATTTCTTGTCAAGTCCAGGCTGTTACAAAGAGTTTGGAAGCTTTTGCTATGTCTTCAATGAAATGGAATTTGTCAAGTCTGAAATCTTCAACTATGGCATATTTTATCAAAGCCTTAGGACACAAGTGAGAAACCTATGTGCATAACCCAGCCTTAGCTGCTTTGCATGCAGCCCATAAAGAGTAAAAAGTCACTCCTATTCCCTGAGCACCTCAGTTTAGTAGGCATCAGCCGAGCTGTGGAGACCACTGCAGGGTGGGGGAGGAGGCTTTCATACCTCCCATTCCTCAGACTGATGTTTGCCCAAAAATGTTGGAGAAGAGGTTCGTAAGGACACTCATCCCCATAAATTCTCTTCCACAGCACAATTAGAGTCTTGTTTGCTGACTGTAATAAGGAGGAGGGGACATAGGGACATCTTTCTTTGTCCATGCTTAGTTTCATGATCCATCACCTGACAAACAGCTTTTTGCTGTCCTTTGAAGATGTCGGCCACGAAGACTGGCGAAACGTTAGGAAGAACAACCTTGAGAACACGGCCAAAGAGCCCGAAAAACCCACAACCACCAAACAGCTTTTGGTTAGAAGCCCAACTGAGCTGCAGAGAAATATGTACAAGAAGGGATATCTTCAGGTCACCTTTTCCCCACAGTACAATTCAACTGCGTCCAATACGGTTTTTACAGTGAAGGTGATGAAGTGCCCTGTCTTCTTTACAGCAACTGCATACCTCCCCTTCCATCATCTTAAGGGGAGGATTGTACGAAGTGCTCTCAATCTGCAGGGAGTGTTAAGCCTCCCTGTTGTCATATATCAGGGGTGAGACAGTGTGGCTTGCCACGTGTATGCGGCCCCAAGGTCCAAAAATACTACCTAGCACTTCTACACACCCCAGATATAAATTTTTAAAAGAGGTTTAGGTCAAAAAGATTTTATTAGATTAGATTTTAGCTTACACATGAAAATGGATTTTCAAAAATTTTAGCCACAAGAGGGCTTTCAAAAATTAAATTAAATTAAATTAAAATACTGGAGTGGAGAGTTTGGTAAGGCAGGGGAGCAGCTCTTCAGGAACCAGCAACAGGAATAGGCAGCCATTGGACCTGCATAAATTGTTCACCCCTGATGCATATTGATTGGCTGGGAAGGAGGGCATGTATACACAATACCTCTATTTATATCACAACATATGTATCTGGATGTTTGTACATATTTGATACTGGAGTGGAGAGTTTGGTAAGGCAGGGGAGCAGCTCTTCAGGATCCAGCAACAGGAATAGGCAGCCATTGGACCTGCATAAATTGTTCACCCTGATGCATATTGTGATTGGCTGGGAAGGAGGGCATGTGTGCACAATACCTCTATTTATATCACAACACATGTATCTGGATATTTGTACATATTTATATACAATCACATATGCATGCTCAGTGCAGTCCCCCAATCTATGGCCTCTGGAGAAATGATGCTTCTGGGGGTCCAAAATGGCTGCCCATCCCTAGATTAGAGTAATAACTCGGTTTCAAAACATCATGTTCAAAGTTGGTTTCCTTCAATAGCCCAAAGTTTAAATTAACCACAATTTAAAGAATAAATTACAGTAGTGCCTCACTTTACGATTGCCCTGCATTACGACAAATCTGCTTGACGACGATCTTTTTGCAATTGCAAAACGATGGTCTAAATGGGAGAAATTCGCTTTGCGATGATCGGTTCCCTGCTTCGGGAACTGATTCTTCGCAAAATGATGATTTTTCAACAGCTGATTGGTGGTTTCAAAATGGCCACCGGGTAAATAAAATGGCTCCTCACTGAGTTTACGGACCGATTCCTCGCTATACAGGCAGCGAAAATGGCCGCCGTATGGAGGGTCTTTGCTGGATGTTGAGTTTTAAGCCCACTGGAACGCATTGAAAGGTTTTCAATGCGTTTCAATGGGCTTTTTATTTTCGCTTTACTATGTTTTCGCTTAACGGCGATTTTCCTGGAACGGATTATCGCCGTTAAGCGAGGCACCACTGTATATTAAAAACAGAAATGAAAGCTTCTACCCCATCTCATGGCAATGTGAGAAAATAGAGGAAGCAATGCCCAAATCCGAAATTCACCAACAGGTTGGGCGTTAGATTCCTCACTGTGCATCCCTGACAGGGGCTGAACTAGATGATACATAGGGTCCCTTCTAGCTCTGCAGTTCCAAGACTATTATTTTAACATCTAGAAAGCCACAAATTGCCCGCCCCTCTTTTATTCCTATTCACCGTATCCCATATCCCACATCATGTGTTTTCTGGCAAAGCTCTATACAGTGAAACTGTTAACGGCAATTTGGAACAATCTGTTTAGACACAAGGATAGCAGCCTGAAACTATACCTGACTAACTCGGTTGACTTCTACTTCTTCCTCTTCAGCTTCTTCTCCAAATGATAGCAATTTAAAATTTCTTCAGTGAGAAAACGGGGAAATAAAACGTTAGTTCATATAGACATTTTCCTGGGAAATTTACAGTTCAGAGCTTTATTTGATTATAGCCAGCTCAAATGATTACAGTGAAACCTGCCCACCCAGGGTTATTTATAGAAATGTATTACTCCATTTTTCTCTTGTTAATTCAAAGCGCTCCTATCATTCAGTAGTGACTGTGAGGGTTCGTTTGGTAGGGCTGTTTGTTCCCCAATAAATGGACGAGACGGTGGAGGTAGATCAAAGGGTTCTGTATTTATTCCTGCATTAACACCAACCGGATTTCCCCCTACAAAGGGGTTCAGGGAGTCTTGCAACACATGGCTTGGTTTCAACGGTGTCCATAAACTATTTACAAATGGGTTTGTCGTCTCTGGGTTCCAGGGACCTGTTGTAGTCGGCACAGATTCCAGCCCAGGGTCCAAAGCTTCTTCCAAAGAGATTAGCGGTAATGTCTCTTCATCTCCGCTCCAGCCATCCCAGGATGACTCATCTCCTCCATCCGCACCCCAGGGGCCGGGTAACCCCCCAGCTTCCTCAGCTCGGCGATATGCCATTGCTTCTTTCTCTCCAACTCCCGTGCAATGGCCTCTCTCTCCTCACGAAGCTTTCTCCTCCACTCCTTGGCCTCCGTTTCCCCCCAATAAGAAGGGTGGGGTTTTAGTCCCAACTGCCGACACTTCTCGGCTTCTTCATGAGGAACCCGGACCTGTTCCCACTTATGGGTCCAGGGGTCCTCCATCCATACCCATTCCCAACCACCCGGTATATCCCTCGGCTTTTCCCTTATATCCCCTACCCCCGCCTCTATCTCCACCCCTCGGTTTCCCGCCCGCACTCGTCCCGGTTCCCGGGTGATTTTTAACTCCTTCATGACCTCCTCCAAATCGTGGGTGTCTACTCCCTTGTTCAGGGTAAGGGATCCGACGCTTCCCTTCCCCCAATCAGGGGTCTCCACACCTTTCTCTTCCCGTCGCGGTGGGGATGGTGGGGGAGATGTCTGGGTGTGATGGGTACTCTTCGGGAGCGACGGCACTCCTATCATTGCCTCCATCTTGGGAACCTCACAGTGACACTTGAATCAGATGTTAATTCTTGCGCAAACTATTATAACTGAGCTCGTAGAAAAGAAATAACAGGTTATAATTACTTTGTGCCCTTGGATTTTGCCTTCTTTTCTTCTTCTACTGGTTTCTCATTCTTCAGCTTTTTACTAGTTCTCGGAATTATGTCCTCAAAAGGATTAAATAAAACCTGTAAGAAAAATATTTTAACAGATCTTGAAGAGTTTTCACTGTGAATAGTATTAATCTTTCAAAACCACACAAGCAATAATGAAATGTAGCATTTGAGTAAAGATGCTCAATCTGGGATTTTGAACATACAAAACTGCTAAATCTGCCCATTGATGCAGATAAGTTAGTATTTTCCTGTCCTTCAAGCAACTCTAATGTCTCATGTGAAGGTACAGTGATGCCTCGCTTAATGATGATAATTGGTTCCCAAAAAATCGCTGTTAAGCGAAACACAGTTTCCCATAGAAATGCATTGAAAACTGGATAATCCATTCCAATGGGAATGGATTGCCGTCCTTAAGCGAAAATCGCCATAGGAAACACTGCTAAGCGAAACATGGTTCCCCAATTGAAATGCATTGAAACTTATTCAATGCATCTCAATGGGGGGGAAATTGCAACAAATTTAAAAAGAGTCGGAACAAAGTCAAATTAATTTAACAAAGGGTTTATTAAGTGCACTTATGATTTCAAGCATTCTAAACATTTCTAAACATTTAAAAAACAGCCAACATGAGGCTGTCAAAACCATCGTTAAGCAAAACAGGGGGACCCAAACTGTCATCGCTATGCAAAGCATGGTCCCAAACATCGCGATGCGAAAATTGCCCATAGGAACCATTGTTAAACGGAGCACAAGATCGCTCCGAAAAAGTCATCACTAAGCAATTTCATCATTAAACAAAGCAATCGCTAAGCGAGGCACCACTGTATTTTCCACTTTACCACTGTTAGCCCTTTTTACTTGAAGAAATTGGTGACTGGACAGTTGCAACTGTTGCATACTATGCTAAGCACACATTCTGACACGGAGCTCTGGGAACAACATTTTTCGTATTAGTTAAACATAATTAGCCATGGCAAATTATGGAAAATTTATGTGAACACCAGGAGGATTCTGGCCATTAAAGCTACACACAGTAGAGAGCAAAGTTGCATAGCCAGTTGTCAGGATATAGAACTTGCAATTAAAACACACTGCTTTAGCCATATTTATAGAAAATTAGTTTTTGTTTTTATTGTATGTGACCCTGATAGTTATTAGCTATCAAATGACTAACACATTTTGGAAAGGAATCAGTAAAAATTAAAAGCCCTTTGTCCAGTTCAAAAATGTTATCCAAGTGAGTGCTAAGTGAGCATTTCTGGGTATTACACACAATTCACTTCCAAGAATTGCACCATTTGTGTTATGTCAATGTAGCAAGCAAGAGAAATTGAGCCATCATGCTAGAACGTAAGAGTTATAAATTACAGTGCATACAGTATTTGATTTTGATGGACAAAATCTAGTTAAGTGATACCGATAACCGTACATTGAATTTCATCTGTACAGTGGCACCCAAAGGGAGGGAAAAAAGCACCGGTTTCATAACCTTTCCACTTTAAACCAGAATATCTGGGAAGCATATTTATTTTAAAATAGATGCACACTTGAGCATGCACAAATCTGCTCTAAAACGGTGTCTGAAATCCTTGTGACCAGCTATGCAGCATGACTTGAAGTTATGCCCACAGTAGCTACAATCAGGCCAAGGCAAAAGTACTATCCATGGTGTATTATGCAATCAGTACAAATGGGAACTGTGCAACTGACTGTAGAAATGACTTGCGCTGTCCTCATTGGCATGGGCAGGAAGCCTGGCACATTTACAACAGTGCTACGTGAAGCCTCAACAAACAGGATTCCAGCCATAGACACCAGACATGCAGAAGTTGCCCAGATTCAAGGGACTTATTTTTTATTTAGGCTGGCACTACAGATAAACAGACATCAATCAAGCATATTAACATGTTTAAAATTGGAGTGTCTAAATTATTTGTTCTGGTCACTACTTCAATTTTAAAACACTGCTTAGAATTAAATTAATATATAATTATTCTGATTTTAATAGCCTGAAGACAAGAAAAATGTGTATTTTATAACTTTATACCTACCTCTGTACTCCTGACTTTATGCGGATTGACTGGTCTTTCATTTATATCCGTTTCAACCTCTGAAAGTCGTAACATGTTGTATATAGTATCTCCAGTGATCTGCCAAATTCAAAAAGCTTTATACATCTAGTGTCACGTAATATATTATTTTTAAAGTATTCTACATAGTTCAAAGTAGCTGGATGGTCTTGCAGCATTAATATGCACTAAGATGGTCTTCTTCCATAGGTGAGAACTGATAAGCAACATAGTTCACAACCACAAAAGGATTCTTATGCCAGAACTAAGAAATATAAAGGGATGCTAAAAAAGTAACCTCGTGGCCATATTTCCAGACTTTAAGATACAAGAAACCCTCTTATGTTTATCATTCAAGGGGCTTACCATAGGACATTTCTCCACTCTAGGGATAATGCTTGGAGCACAGCAAATTAAAGCAGGGGAAAATCCTGTTGTCTAAGTAAACAGAACATCCCTGTCTTTGGGCACAATGCTGTATGAACCAGGCCTTCTCAGTGGTGGCTGCAACACTATGTGTTACCTGTGGATATATTCTAGGCTCCCTCCCTTCTGGCCTTTAGGAAACAAGTAAAAACTATATTGTTTGAAGAGACCTTCAGAAACACATTACCCCCTTTGACATCCTTGTGGATCCATGAATTGGATGCTGATCTTGATTAGCCGTTGCCTCTAGGTTTATTTGATATTTTTGGGTTCTCACTATGTAATTTGGTCTGGATTTCCTTATTTATGTCTTTGTGAGCTGGGTAGTTGTGTTTTTACTGCTGTTGGCCACCCAGAGTAGTGCTCAGGCACTAGATGGGTGCGGTAGAAATGTAATAAACAAGCAAACATTCTCAGCCCTGGAAATCACTGAAAATTATCCCATTACCAAAACACAAGGATGCTTTCCTGCCCTGTCATGGTGCTATGGCTCGAAACAAAACAAAAACAAGAGGATGTGGATCATCATGGTTGTGAACAGCAGCAAAAGAAACAACTGGATGCTCATTTTGGCAAGGGACTCTGTGGTACATTTGGGGCAGCCAGGAGAATGTGGTCAGGGGAATCCATGAGCCAAACATTTAGCCACAAATTTTCTCATCCACTCAACTACAGACTCAGCATTCATTTGGACATATTACAACCAGTATGGCTGAGACGGCCGAGTGTGAGCCTCCAGACTGCAGTGCCCCGAAGCTCTAGTCGACATAGCCAATCACAGGAGTTGCAGTCCTGAATCACAGATTACTTCCATTAGCTTTGTCATTATACAAGCCATTCTCCTGTTGATTTGGAAGTCAACTGTTTCAAGAGAACAAAGGTATCTGTGCCAATATAAATTTGTAACAAACGTGCATTATTTTAGCCAAGGCCAAGATTTTCCAACTTGGTTACAAATCATTTCATGAACAATTCATCTAGATAAAGTAATATACAGTATATATGTATGTATACACATACGTTTTTATTGAGTAAATCAACAGACCATTTTTTTATTGAATAAGTCAACAGACCATTTCGAATATTACATAGCAAAACATAAAAATATAAATAAATATATAAAATGATAATAAACAAGTATAAAAATTACCTTTAAAACAACTATTTAAAACAAACCTAATTGACACTCCAGGTAGCCTCTTAGTAGTTATACCTAAGTACTGAACCTCTTTAGTGGCATACCTCAACTAAATAGACCCCTTATCGACTTCTTGTTTCCTCAGGATTGCTGCTTTTACAGCAAAAATTGCTACTTTACAACTTAGATGAGGGTTAACCCCTTGAAGTAAATAAGTCAAATTACTCTCATCAGCCCCAGCCCCCCAACCCTCCAAATAGGGTGTTAAGTAAAGTTTCCAGATGTTAGCGTATAATTGACAATGTAATAGATAATATGCCAGATCTTCAACTTTTGCTGTCCCACAAATACACAGTCTATCCTGTATGGGAATGCCCTGATATCAGCCTTGTAACATCCTTGTCTCCATTAGCTCAAAGTGGAGACGGGTAAATGCCATACGAAGATCTTTTTTTCATTGGAAAGAGCATGTATTTTTCTACCTGAAAATGGTTTTAGGCCTCGCTAGCCATTTCATAGATTGCACTGAAGATAAGGCCGCCATATCTGTTTGAGCTCTGATGTCAAACACTCTTTGTTTGAATGCATTTTTGCTGTTAGAATTACTTAAACCAATGGCCTCAACACTCAAGCCCTGGTTAGAAAGATTTTGAGAAAAATTCACAAACTAGGATTTTATTGTTGGGTTAGACATAAAGAGATTATTTCCCCTCAGGTGACAATGGAAACAAATCTGATCAGATATGTCAAAACTGTTCATATTTTGTTTTATTGAAACTTACAAACTGATTTTATTCTGAATTTTTTGGTTCACTCCAGTAGCCAACAAATATCTGCAATATGATCTTTAGTGCCTCTTCCTTTTCTGAAACCAGCTTAAATTGGGGGGACTTCTCATTCTCAGGAATGTCTCTTTTGTCAAATCTTGAGTATCGTACTGCTTGCAAGGACAATTAATGCAATGCTCCTATACTTACCTTTTGCATCTCATTTCTTCTGGTCTGGACTGCTTCTTTTTTAATAGGCCACTGTTCTCCCTTCCGTACTTCATGGCATATTTTTGTTAACATTTTGATAGATCCAGTCTCTGTGGCACGAAATGCCTCTACTGATATACTATTACTAACACTTTATTTTTTCCCAGATGTTTGGAGTTCAAGTTCCATTCCACTCTCAAATTGTACTGTCTTCACCAAAGGATTCCTCTTCGAATGTGTTATCCTTACATCTCATATGTACAGTTCTTCAGTGTTATTTCCACCTTCTATTTTATCTTGCTCAGATAATATACTCCCATATTGTTTTTTCCAATATCACTGATCTTAGTTTAAATTTCACTTTGATTCCTTGGATTTTTATGGAACAAATCTCTTAGTTTTTTTCTGATTTGTTATTCCCTCTTACCTCTTTGCAGAGATCTTTATAATAGGTTTTTTTTGTCCTACATGCAAGTCACTAAAAAGTTGCAGTTAGAATTCTGACTCATAAGTAACCTTACGCAACTAGAATTACTATGGGTTTAAGGCAGGATCTGGTGAGAAGCCACAGAGAAAAGAGTCAAAGTGGATATAAGTCTCTGAGGAGTTTCCTTACAGTTTGGCATGTCATAGGTCAGGGTGCTAAGGCCCAAGTAGGAGCACATGCTGGTACATTCTCAATGTGCAATTTGATAAAATACTGAAAACTACTTCTCCTTAAATGGCTATTTTCTTACAGCTTCCTGTACTCTAGCTTATCCATATGTTGTGTAGAAGGTGATTGAAATAAACAATCCAGCAATGAGTTCTCTTAGGTGGCTCTTTGTTCCATTCCAGTCTTTTTAACAGTCTATTTGTTCCTCCTTTTACTAGTTTTCATACTAGATTGGTATAATACAGTCTCTTTTTTTTAGATCAAGATCCAAACAATCCATAGGCAGCTTGTGACTGGGTGGGGGAATTCCCTCAAATTGTGGTGTATGACAGGCCCCCATCTGCCCTGATCATGAACTGCCTCGACTTCGTCCTATCTTCACTGGAGAATCTACATTAGGAGTTTGGCAGTTCTCATTAGAATCATCAAAGATTTTTGATTCAAAAGAAAAGAAAGAAACTCCAACAAAAATTCAGACACAGAAATAATGGTATTCAGGACAGATGCTTTGCAAACCTTTCCAAAGATGGTGTGCTTGTTGTTAAGTTCATCTGCACGACCCAAGGTAAAAAAGAACTGGCTGCCATTATCATGAGGCCCAGCGTTTGCCATGGCGACCAGTCCACGCCGATTAAAGCGCAATCGTGAGTGGAATTCATCCTGTGAGTTAAGAACAATTATGGGAAAATTTTAATTGGTTCTTGGTCATTCAGCAATTTGCTCAATGGAACACATAGTATAATGTCCCTCTTATTACATCAAAGCATTACTCACAATCAGCTCCTAAAGCTAAACCTACTTGCATTATAAAATACACTCATTTTGTTTGTATTATTTAGAATGACAAATGGAAAAAAACTAGAACCCACTCATACTTCAGTGAAGCAAAATAGACTGCCAATTCCACAGACCTGCAATGCAGATAAAACGTTTTTAGATCTCTCAGTTATATCACAAGCAACAACTCTAGTTTAATCTTAGCACTCCAAGGAAGAATGTAGTAGAACCAGTAGTTAAGTTGGAAGACAGAGCACAATGATGAGCGTTTTGTATAAAAGCAACAAATCTGTTTAAAGCTATCTTACAGTGAGTACGTACACACAAAAACATGTTGAAAGATGTAGGACTTTTCTTTCTATAGCACTTGTTTAGCCATTATGTCAACAGTCCAAATCTTGAGTGTTTATCCTATATATTATCAGCCTAAATACTGAAAACCTTCAGCAATATCTAGTCAGTGCTTAGCCCTTTAAGATCCCCAGATTCTGGTAGGATATCCATTGGCTCAAGGCCCTGCCATCGAAATCAATATATTTTAAAAGTAACTAACCATAATTACATTTTGCTTGAACTGAATTAAAAGATATCTAAGTAGCAGTTACATAACAGGGGAATTAACAGAAAACAAAACCAAAGGCAAAAAGAGGTTTACCTTGAAAGGGGCACCATAGATGGACTCTCCTCCTGATCCGGTACCAGTTGGATCTCCTCCTTGGACTATAAATTCAGGGACAACCCTGTGAAATATAGTATTGTCATAATAACCTGAAAAGAAAATTGGAATTGTTACATTACACTGATCACAAAAATTTTATTATGGGCAGATTCTGAATGTCAGCTATGACTTTATCCTTTGAATAAAACTATTTATGATTAGCTGTATTTACAAAATGACAAACAGCATTTATTGTTTTTCTGGGCTACTGAAAATCCATTACTTCAATTACAAAATTGAAAAGGAGTTTTACAAAAGTTTATTGCCAATAAATTTATTAATTATATTATTTCTTGATATTTGGCCTCAATATTTGGCGGAACATCTACTCCCACCAAGCTCTACCCGTGTCACTCGTGCGAGCCAGGAGGTGAGGCTGAGCAGCCTGATGCCGAGGGAGGCCTGGAAGGAAAAGACAAGTAACCGGGCCTTCTCGGCGGTGGCTTCTCACCTCTGGAACAATCTCCCTCCAGAGATTCGCGCGGCTCCCTCGCTGGGTATTTTTAAAAACCAACTAAAAACTTGGATGTTCAGGCAGGCCTTCCCCTCCAGTTAATATCTGTTTCTCTTCTTTTTTCTTTGTGGTTTATCTTTCATTCTTTCTCCCCATCTTTGACTATTTAATGTAATAAGTTTTTTTAATTATTATTTTATTATAGTATTATGACTCTGTAAGCCGCCTAGAGTGGTCATAATGACCAGATAGGCGGTTGCCCCCCAAGAAGAGGAAAAACAGCTACAGGTAGTATGAGTGGCAGCAGGATACAATCTGGAACAATGATAAGTGGCAGCAGACTGTAGCTCCAGGGGAAGAGGAGCCAACAGAGGTTGACCAACCTGTCAATATCCAACAGCTGGCTCCGGGTGTCCCAAAGGGCATAACCATAACAAAGGCCAGACGCCTAGTCAGAGGCTTCACTCCCAGCTACTACCTGGTTAAGCATTTCCTTCCTCCACAATGGCTTCCCTCTACCTTGCTGGGCCAATTCTTCACCAATTTAGGGTCCGTTTTCCTTAATCCTGGACACTTGGTTGCCTAGCTTTCACCTGCTAGGTGCAGAAGTTCATGCCTTGTTCTGATTCAGGTTTTGTGTCCCATGTGTGCAGGTAATGTTATTTTTGGTTTTTGTTTGTTTGGGTTTTTTGGGGGGGGCAGCTTCTTCTTGGGCTCATAGAGCAATCCTGGTGTTCCCTCTCTGTCAGCAGCTGACCCCTCTGCCTCCAGCTCTCAGGGAAAATACTTTAAATTCCTCATCCTTCCTTTTCACATCCCTGTTGTTCTGCCTTTCCTTAATGGTAGATGCTACTTTTTTCTATTCTCTGCTCTCTATCTGGCAATAGGAATTGCTCCCTCTCATATCCAGAGTATCAACAGAGCACCTAGAGCTGATGTCATTCTGAGCATCAAAGCAGCTATATTCCTAGCCTTTCACTTCACTGAGGACAGAATGCAGCTACTATAGGGCATCGAGTCCTTTGCTATGCAGCTTCCAGGTTTTAAGAACACTGACATGCTCCAGAGCAGTGGTTCACAACCTTGGTTCCCCAGATGTTTTTGGACAACAACCCCTAGAAATCCTGGCCAGCACGGCTAGTGGTGAAGGCGTCTGGGAGTTTTAGTCCAAGAACATCTGGGCATCGAAGCTTGGGAACACCGCTCTAGAGCTAATTTCTACTTGTCCTCACTAAGTCTCAGTTGTTTTGCATCTGATCCTAGACATAGGCCTTGTTAGTTTGGTTATAGTCTGACCCTGGTCAGGGGAGATTATCTTCTCTCAGAAAAAATATATATGGATAAAGGATAAATGCAGTCAGCTATTTTTCAGACTTTCCACAGACTATCTGAATGGAACTTCCAGGCAACCAGTATTCTCTATACTACAACTGAAAAAAATGTTTTTTCTTTCCTTCTTCAAACTTCACTGTATATGGGGAGAAAGTGGCACTTCTCCCAAACCCTCCAGTGGTCACAGATGGCTTGAAAGAAAGAATTGGACTTATCTCATTTTTGTGGGGGTTTGGAGAAGAAAAAAATGTGATCAATATCTGCTGCCTTCCTACCACTATGAAAATTAAAAATGTGCCCAGATCTTCTTCAATTTGTCTCTTCTGACTGTCTTAAGGATTCAACGAAGCTTCTCTCATGTGCATGCCATTTTGGAAAAGGGAAAGAATGTAATAAGTTTAAATCTGTGCAAAAGAAACCAGATTCTCCACAAGATTCTCTGATAAGTGTAGAAGAGCTAGAAGCTGGTGTTTCCTTACTTAAGTGGAAGTTATATTGAGAGAAGCTCCTGTTGCTTCTTCCCTTCGCTAAACTGTGACCCAAACTTTGTAAGAAGATGGATAAAGTTGGGTGCTCTGACGGCTCTTGGGGAGTTTCCTGTTGTCTCGGCAGGCGATCCTGTCAAAGCTCTGGCTGATCTCTGGAATGGG